GGGCCCAGGCTGGGCCTTGCACGCTGCAGTGCTCAGGAGCGGGGGAGGAGAGCAGGCACCAGCAGAGGAAGCAGCCGGTGATGCAGGAGAAAAGCCAAGAGGGTGCTTTGTTCCAGAAGTCAAGTGACAAAGGCATTGGAAGGAGTGAGTGTGTGTTCGAATGTATCAAATGATGCATCGCAGACATCGTCTCATATAAACATGATAACAACAAAGGGGGAAGTAATATTACCGCCATTTCAGACAAGGCAATCAAGTCCCAGAGAACTCAACTAATTCCTCCAAGGGCACATACATCCTGAAAGGAGATCCTAAATGCAAAGCCAATCTGCCTGAACCTATACCTGGGCTACTCATCACCACACACTTAAAACCTGCATGTGATGTGTCTGTTGGACCCCCAGTGCACTAAAAGCTAGGACCATGGTTCTGAGTCCTGAGGGAATGTGAGATTCAGGGGGTGCCGGGACCTCACCCAAGCCCTGTCTCCAGAGATAGCATTTCACCATCTGTAGTCTTTAAAAGTCCACACAGGTGATCGGAATGTGATTTAAGATCTTAATGTGCTCCTGGGTGATCATAAACCACTGAGTGGTATGTTCCAGGAGGTTCCAGGAGAGTCTGGGCTCCACTCTTTGGTTATCACTACCAAGTCACTGAGACCTCATCTGACCCTCACCAGGCGGAGGGAGAAACCTTTTAGACACTGCCTAAAAGCCTCACTATAAATTATCCTAAAATAAACCGCTATAAATAAGCTCCCCCTGTAGCCTAGAGTCCCCACAAGTGACTTCCCTTGACCCTCCCACTTGAAGACTTACCCCAGCCGTGGCCCTGGTATCAACCCTGTCCCTGGTCAAAGAGAATTATGGAAGGAGCTCTCACAGTCTAACCCCATGACTCAACATGAAAACATTAATAACAACCACCACTTACCGAGGTGTGCCAGACCCGGTCTTAGTGCTCTGCAGGTATTAACACATTTAATCCTTGCATGGACCCCATGATGACAAAGGCTCTGATAATCCTCATTTCAGAGATAAAGACATTGAATCTTGGAGAAATTCAATAGCATGCCCTGGGCCGCCCCGCCAACCCGCTGAGCCTGGATTTTCCCCCGGTTCTGCCTGACCACAGCATCCACGCTCCCGGCTACCTTCACAACTTGACATCTCCACGTGTGTGCCCCAGCGCTTCCTCAGTGCAAGATGGAAATGTGTCCTTCTCACCGCAAATCCTCCCCCTTCTCCTGTCCTCCCCTAGCTGCTGGCACCTCCTCACACGATCACTGAAACTGAAGCCTCTAGATCGTCCCTGACACCCATCATCCAGGGCGACTAGTCGGTCCCTATGACCTTTTGATGTTATCCTCAATGGCTCTCAGGTCCTTCTCTCTTTTTTTCAGATCCTCATTTGGTTCTTTCCAATATGATTTTAGTAACCCCTGGAAACAGCCCCCCGATCCTAGTCTTATCTTTTTCAAATCCAAACCCCACTTTGCTGGTTCTAGATTTGATCACTTGGTAATAACACAAATCTGATATCACATCAAGGCTTAAAATCCTTTGGCGACGCAGCGAGTCCTGTATGATACAACACGGTTCCTCAACCTGATGGTCTTCACAATGTAGCTCCAACTTGCTTCTTCAAAGGTCTGTCTTCCTGCTTCCTGGCACCTTGTCCTTCCCTCATAAACACTGACTGCTCTTCTCCAGAGGTCATAAACAACAAAATCTGGCCCACAAAGGCATGCTACACTGTGTTGGTTCATGCAGTACTCTGCGTGTGTTTGTGTGTGTGTGCATGTACGTGTGTGTGTGCATGTGCGTGTGTCTGTGAACTGTCTCCATTTAAAGAACTGAGAGAGTTCATTTTTAAAAATCCAGATCTCTAACTTCTCTTGAAGCAGTACTCCACCACCCCGTGTTGTGCCCTCACCCCAACTCACCTTGCACGTTTAAGTGACCTGCATGACCTTATAGGCATTTGAGTTTGTGATATCTATACTGGGCCATTAGAAGGTCTCCAAGTGTACCACGTGTCTTCATGCCTTTGCAACTTTGTTCGTGTTTCTTCAGATTAGAATACCCTTTCTCTACCTGGCAAAGCCCTCCTTATCTTTTAAAGGCCAGATAAAGGATCACCATGACTGTGAAGTCCTTCCAATAAAATTATTCTCCTTTTGCCCAATGACCCATTAAAGCTTTATTTTTATTTCTAATGTAGCGCTCTCCAAGCTATCACAGGCAGTTGTATGTATGAGTATGCCTTCTCCTGGCCAGACTGGGAAAACCTTGAAAGCAGGGTCTGCGTTGTTCAACTTGGCGCCCTCTCACACCTTGTTTGCTGTCTTGCCTTGCCCACTGTATACATCCCACAAGCACTGAGTAAATTCCATTGAAATCAGAAGCTCTGTTTGCTCTCCACGGAAGTCTTTTCATTCCCACGTTTCTGAAACGTGAAAGGACTTACTAATTTATGTAGAAAGGATCAAAGAAATTATTGTTTCACATGAGCGTTGAGCAAATGTAGGTTTCTGAGGTCTGGTTAGTAAGATTATACAGCTGGTTATGAGGGCTGGCTCTCCTTGACTTCTAAGTGTATCATGCAGAGAAGTATATAAAGACAACCCCCTCCCTGCCCTAGTATTGCCCATATGGTCAAATAATAACTAATATTGTTTCAAAACATTTTCACACTTATGAGAAATTTCTTAGGTGGTAACGACTTCATTACTCAGGTCTGCACCTTCACCTACAGTTTCTATTCTCATGGTTTTATAGAAAACTCACGTTGTAAACTACTTCTTGTTTCACTATATCTTTGTGTTTGAGACTTTATTTTTATCTTTTACACCTTCTATTAAAGCAGAAGAACACTACACTCCTAAGAATCTCGGTCTAGGTTAAGAAGAAATAATATTTCTATAGCAATCAAAAGCTGCACGGGGGAGGGGAGTATCACTTTGTGAGGAGTGTAAATGTCTAACTATTATGTTGCTTTGTATACCTGAAACTCATCATCATCATCATCATCATCATAATAATAAAAGATGCACGGTAGGTAGCATACAGACCTTGCTTTAGGGAAGGAATACTCACTCTGTCCTGGAGAAGTATGAATGAAAGACCACAGTGGCCATGGAAATCTCAGAAGGAATAACCAGATTCTTTTAGGAGCTGCCTCCATTTTTTTGCCAAACCTATCTGCTGACAGCCCCAGGCCCCAGGCAGCTGACTGCAATGCGGGTAATACATGGAAGACTAACAACATTTTGCCCCCTCCATTTGTTCTCCCTCTGTCAGAACTGAATGTGGAGCAGGTGTGGGCAGGGAAGCAGAAAAATCCCTTTGAAAATTGTCCATTAGCCTGATCCTGGGCTAAGCTCGTTGGCGACTCTGAGGAGCACCATTCCTTCCCAAGGGCATTCCAGGCGGGATGAAGCGAATCCTAACAGGAACCAAACAGTCTGCAGTGTGTCTCCATTCCAAGAGAGAATGCCAGAAATTTCAGATGCAGATTTAAATCTTTGTGTGCATTACTTTTCTTTCCTTGTGATCCAATTTCCTCTTAATTGATCAAGAGGGATTTTTGTCTCTGCATTATTGGGCCTCAGTTAACATTATCAGATAATGTTGAACTCTGAAAACACCTCTGACAGATTTCTAGATAGAGGATAAATCATCTCCCAAATGGTTTTAATCCTAGGAGGTAAATGACCTACACAGTGGGGGGTGGGGGAAGGCGGGGAACTGACATCAACATTTTTTCTTTTTCAAAATACATTGGTCTCACCATCAGAAGTAATTAACTTACATTCAGATATTTTATGCTCTTAGCAGTTTTCAATCAGTATGATTAACTGCATGTCAAGATGGGACGAAATGATACAGTATTCAAATCTATAGAGCTGCTGTGTGAAAAACAATTCTACTAGTCTTACTTTAAGAAATTATTCAGTGCTGAGCTCTGAGCATTTTTGTCTCGTTTAGTACACTTTATAGATGGTCTATTTCTGTCCAAATGACCTACTCGACCTCTCTAGTTTTTGTAAAAAACTATATTTTAGTCTTTGTTCTGAGACTTGAAAGAGTAGCTTTTTCTGCACGCACCTAAAGGCTGCTAAGGAACCTTGTATTATTAAAAACAAAAGGTCGGGGGCGGGGGGTGGACTCACTTATTTTGCCTTTAAATGGTCTTTTTAAACAAAATATTTGAAAAGATTTATTGTAATAATCTATGAAATTTGATGTATGTGTGTAGGTCTTAATTTGAAGATTTTAAAAAATAATGGGACCAAAATGTTGCCCATTGTCTTGTTATGTTATTATGACTTGATTATACAATATTTCAAACCTGGGACTAGAAAACCTGGCCTTTGTCACCCTCCTTATCTGGGCCTCAATTTTCTCATTAGGAAAATGAAGTTTGGGTGGGGTGACTTCTAAGATTTGTTTTGAACAGAATTGAAGACAAAAGAAAAAGGCAACTTAAGGATCTTTGATAACTAGAAGGAAAAGAGACACACACTTTGAATCAGAGGATCTGGGTTTGAAGCTCAGATGTTAGCTACAGGGACTCAGATTTCATTGTACTCAGCTGCAAAATGGGACTCATTAAGAGCTATATTCGAGGGCTGTTGAGGTGTAAATGAGAACATGCCTGTAATGTGCCCGGCACAATTTGTGCACATATTTTATGCTTCTATAAATGGTAGGGCCATATTTTAAGGTCAAGAAGAACCTAAGGCTGAGCACATGATCAGATCTAGTAATTTCCACTGTGGCACTTGGAGAAGGATGGGGGTGAGCCTATCACTGTCCTTTACCAACACAGATGTCCCTGTGCTGTGATGAAACTGGAGCCGTCAGGGTTTAAAAAAAGAACACCATCAGGGGGAAGGCACCACATCTTGGCAAGAAACGCTGAACATAGTTTCCACGTCACCAAACGCTCTTCCCACCCCATACCCGGCTTCTATATAAATCCTGGGCTCTCCACTGGTCCACACTCATTTGAGCGAGTGCCCAAGTGATCAGCAGAGAAGAGAAGGGTAGCATGGCTCCGGGAGAATCAGAGAGAAAGGAGGGGCCAGCCAAGAGGGCCCTCCGGAAGATGCACACAGCCGCCTTGGTGATCAATTTGGCCCGAGGTTGGCAGCAGTGGGCAAATGAGAACAGCACCAAGCAGGCCCAGGAGCCCGCAGGCTGGCTGCCGGGAGGGAACCAGGACCCACCCCAAGAGCCTAAACCAGGGATACACCCCACTGCCCACCAGAAAACTCAGAGTGCCCCAAAGGGTCCTTCCCCAAAGCCAGAGAGCCATGGAGATGGACAAAGCTCAGAGGAAGCCCCCGAGGTCTCTCACATCAAAAGGAAAGAGGTGACCAAAACAGTGGTCAGCAAGGCTTATGAGAGGGGAGGGGATGTGAGCCACCTCAGCCACAGATACGAGAAGGACGGTGGCACGCCTGAGCCCAGGCAGCCAGAGAACGACATTGACAGAATCCTGTACAGCCACGACTCCCCGACGCGGAGGAGAAAATGTGCCAACCTGGTATCTGAGCTGACCAAAGGCTGGAAGGAGATGGGACAGGATGATCCCAAGTGGAGGAGCGACAGCATGGACACAGAGGACAGCGGCTATGAAGGGGAGGCCGAGGAGAGGCCGGAGCAGGATGGGGAGCAGGTGGCCGCTGCCAGAATCAAACGGCCCCTGCCCTCTCAGTAAGTGAATGCATCCTTCTCCTCCTTATACTGCGGTGGAGCCCCAACCAGCTCTGGGGACACGGAGCTCAGGGAAGTACCACCAAAGTTAGAATGAGAATCTTCAAGATTGGGCAGGCAGCGGGGGCCTGAGGGGAAGGCATGTCCCTCGGCTCAAAGGGCAGCCAGGCTCAGACGTGGGCCTTTGGGCAGAGGGCTTGCATTATTTTGTTTCTCCTTTCTGTTTGACCTGAACACTCAAGTTTTAGCCTCAGCAAAACATGAAACCACCAGAGAGGAATGAGTGTTTTGGTTAAGTTTTTAAAAATCGATTCTGTAATGAGTGGCAGATTGGCTTATTTCTCAGCAGAGACAAGGGCTGGCTGGCAGATTGATTGGAGAACCCTTTCCTTTGTCTTGTGTCAGTCTAAATTGTATCAGGAGAAACAGCTACCCAAATAAGCCCATGGAACACAGATAGATCTCTAGGACCGTGTAAACAGGTGGGAGGCTGCTAGTTAACCTGAGAGCAGTTTCTGAAATCAGACCCAAATTCAAACGGCAGCTCTACCCCAGCTATAGTTCACAATACTGTATTATATACTTGAAAGTTGATGAGACTAGATCTTAAATGTTCTACACACACACACACACACACACACACACACACACACACACACACACACACATGCACACACACTCCTGGTGATTTTTGTAAGCCCATTTCCTCCTTTGTAAAATGATGGCAACAGTAACCTTTTGGGGGTAAATTCTATTCTATTGGGAGAAGATTAAGGCTGCCCAGCACTTAGCCCAGTGCCCACCACCTATGCTCAATATATGAAAGCTACTGTTATTCATATAGATTCGACTATTTAGCAATTCTTCAAACTTTTAGGGGAAAAATTGTCCTGTTTATAATCAAAGACAGAAATGCTATTAAAGCTAGGTACTTAAAACACCACAATCCTAAACATTTAGATGCTAAATACACACACACACACAAACTTTATTCAGACATGGAACACATGCTTTATTTCAAGACAGTAACTCCACCTCCTCATAATACAATAGAAAGTTACAATATCTCACTCCACAGGACATCATAATATGGGAAAATTCTCTGATGTGATGAAAGCTTATAAACTGATGCCCTCTGGGAAGAGCTAGATGTGTAGGTGTGTTTTTCAAGTTTTCTGAAACAATGAGAAATGAAGAACATAACTGGTTACTTAATTTGACAAAGAGCTATCTTACAGTTTGTGACTTTAAAAGCTGTTTGAAAAGAATTAGAACTATTATACTGTAAGTTTTCAAAGAAAATGAAATGACAAACTAGATAATTATAACAGTCCTTTATGCATTTCGTGTGCAGTATGGGGTATTTTACATGCTTTATCCTTTTAACTCTTATAATCCTATGAAGTAGGTTTCACCCTGTTTTAGGAGTGAGAGCACTGAATCTCAGAGGAGATGTTTACCTAGCAACTTAGTGACAAAGCCGAGATATGCCTATCTCAAATGCAATGTTTTGAAACCGGACTTGGTGCTAGCTGTCACGCAGGGCCTTGAGGATGTGTTCAGAGATCTGGGTTTGTGCTCTACTTACATTAATGTAGGAATTCATAGTCAGAAATCACTGTGTTACCAGAACATGCAGAGCCACAGTATAAATTCTGGCCATGGGTGCGCGCGCACGCGCGTGCTAGAAATGAAATGAACCCAACAGAATAAAGACAGAATGGCACAATGAAGATCTTGCTGTCACACATTTGAACTGCCCAGAGGTAGGGAGATGACAGCTGGGGCCAATCTCCAGTGCATGTCCTCTTATTTTGCACTTGTCTAAGCACTTTTCATATGTTTACTTATTTCATCCTCACAACATTTTCTTGGGGTAGGTATAATTATTATCCATACTTGATAGATGGGAACATGAGACAAATATTAGGGAATGTGCATAAGATTGGAGAGCCCAGGCCGGCCGAGTGGTGCGATGGTTAAGAACTGGCTTGGGATGCCAGAGGGCCCTGGTTCGGATCCCACATATGAGGGCCAGTGACACTGCCCTCCACAGCTAAGATGCTGGACAACAGCTCAACCTGGAGCTGGGCTGCCATAAGTCACCAGCAATGGCATAGGCTGCAGCCCCTGTGGCAGTGGGTTGCCATGGGCTACCGTGTGTAGTCAGCAGCCAGCGTGAGCAGCCAGCAGCCGCAGTGAGCTGCTGTCCAGAAGCTGGCGACTGATCTGCCTCGCCCGGGAAGAGCGCAATGATGGTGCCAACTTGGGCCAGTGAAGCAACATCCTCCACAACTAGACTGAAGACAAAAACGACAGCAACTTGTCTGTTCCCCTTCCCTCAATTCCCCAGCACTGTTCCCTTCCCACCAATACCCAAATAAAAATCTTAAAAAAAAAAAAAAGATTGGAGAGCCCATGGGATTTGAACCCAGGCCTTCTGGCTCTAAAGCCCACACTCTCAACCATGACTCTCAACTCTGTCACCTGGAAGTGGGGACTAGCATAAGGACTCCTGAAATCAGGCATGGACATGGACACCTTCTTAGTATAAGGGAGAGGTACTTCAGCTTTGAATGAGAGACAGATTTGAGTCATGGTCATCTTGGCAAATCCTAAGTCTCTTTGTCGTCATCTAAAAAATAGATGTGATCAGTAGAGTGATTTAGATATTATGTAAAGGAATGGACCCAGAGGAATGACTTAATAAGTTGTGCTCATTGTCATGCAAGGGGTCGGTCCTGGTGATCCCAACCTCTCAATATGCTAAGAGCTCAGTTCGCAGGTTTGGCCTGGGGGAAGGAGGGAGTGGGAATTAACTCTCTTCTTTCCTTCTTTGGTTCCCTTCCTTCAGTCATAGTACATAAGGTAGCAGCATGTGGTAGGCAGCAACAGCAAGTCTTAATGTCAGCAGTAATCCTAGCTGTGCTCAGGAAGCTTTAGCAGAAGCCTAATGGGACGTTTTGCCTGATGCGACTCACAAAACAGCTTGAGAAATGAACGTGACCTTATTGGGTAAGCCTATAGGAAAGGAGTTTTCACTGATTTTTCATTAAACACCATTCTTTCCCTGCATCCTCCAAGAGGGAGAAAAACTATGTATTGTGAATTTATAAGTAGAAAGAAAGGGACTTTTCTTGGTAGTTAATAGAAACAAACAAGTCAGGGCTGATAAGAAAACCTAGAGGTATTCTTTACTGACAGTGGTTTTGCTATCTGGGGGTTTACTCTGAAGATGGTTTATATTTTATACTTTATTTTTTAAATGTGTGGTCTTTTGATTGCATGTCTTATATGACTTGTTCGGGCTAGCTCCTTTAGACAAAGAAAATTGGATCCCTCTCCCATACCGAAATAGTGAAATATTAGAGAGCCAATCACTCATCCATCCTCTCCCGCAACTTCTATTCAATAAAAACAATAGCAGTTGAGCATGAAGGTGCCATTTTATAGATAAGGGAATGGACACACTGACATTAAGAAACGTATCTAAATCATAGAGCTAGTCTGTGGGGATGTTGGGAACTGGAAACATTCTCTCTGAAAAATGGCTTTAATTTGGGTCCCCAGCTTCAAAATACAATGGGGCCTAGAGGTGAACTTTCCAGATCTAAGCCTTGGATCAGTATGAAGGGGAGACCCGCTTTCGTTGTCCCGCCCACAGACGCTCCAGCAGAGGGCGCACTTCCTTTGATTGCCCAGGAACATTTCTCTGTCAGTAAAGCTAAGAACTTCTGCCATCCTTTCCAACTTCTCGGGGAAACGCTGGGGAGAATTTGTTTCTCTGTGCATTGGTCTGCTTGCTCTTTTCCATAGGAAGTGTAGCCAATTTGATGTCATGGGAGCATGACATCCATAGGGTCGCGTTTATCAGAAGCAGGGGGACTGTATTCAAAAGGCAGGGCCAACATTTCTGATCAACAACTGTGCTCCCTGTTTTGTTATCAACCGGGCCTGTGATTCTCCTTGCAGGTTGGTAACTGTCAACGTCAGAGTCCATGGATGGTGTCCCGAGCTCTAAAATTGAGAGCAAGTCGTAGAAAGCCATACTTCTGCCTTCTGCCTTCGTTTCTGGCAAAGTGCTTCAATATAGTTGTACCCAAACCCTACACGTTAGGAGTTGTTAGGATTCCATTAATTAAGCTGACACTTTGATCTCTTTATTCCTTGAGTCTATGCCCTACTGATCAGACTAGCATAGTGGTATGAGCTTTGGGTTCTGTTGGGATGGCCCTGGGTTTGTTATTGAGGGCTATAACTGTCATGGATTGCAAGGGTTTCAGGGGGATAAGGTGTTTGCTCTCCTTTGATAGTGAGATCAAGCAGCTCATACTCTGGGTTGAACAGGGACAGTCTATGGAGAGCGAGGCGATGGTGAGGACAAGCAGGGCTGAGAAATCCATCCCACTGCAGGGCGGTGTAATTCCAACCACTTTTCCATCCTTACATAATTATTTAAAGTTGTAATCATTGTGCATACAGTTTTTGTATGTTGCTTTTTCCCAGTTAACTTTGTCATATACTTTTGTCTATGTGGCTACAAAGAATAGTAGTGTTACACGGAGCACTGTATTCCTAGTGTGAATTCTATTGTAAAGTGACACTGAATGCTGCCAAGTATAGGATTTTTGGAAACACAAAGCATAGGAATTAATGAAAGTTCGCCATCTAGTGGATGTCTTTCCTCTTTTGAAAACAACGTTAATGCAAATACATGTACCTCTCTGCCCTCCTGTGATAGTGAGGAATACCCACATATGACCTGTTCCTGGGTTTTGAAGAGCAAACTGTGAGTGTTCGGGTAGGAGGGGCTCCTTGGTTCAGGCGTGCCATTCACAGAAGCATTTCAGCACTGCTCTAACATCTCCAATCCCAGGGCTTCCAGGCATGAGGCTACTTGGTGTCGGGGAAAGGAAGGGTGGGTCACTTGTGAGGAGGAAGAATACCAAGACAAGCTCTAACTTTTAGATGGTCCAAGAGACCATGTTTTACTCAAGTAAGCAAAGAGACCTAGGGAAAAAGTCTAGGAAATGAGACACAGAAATGACAGGAAAGTCTTTTTAAAGACAAATGTTGCCCGTTTTAAAATTAGGCCTGCACCTTCATGACACTATTGGAAACTACAGTTTCCAATACTGTTTTTTTTTAAAATATTAAAATGCATTCCAAATTGCAAGGACAGACCCACATGTTTGAAACACAACTCACCCATTAGACACTGTACCCACTTGCTGAGTGGGCTCATGGCACAGACGAAATAGCACCGACTTCAGCCTCAGACAGATAGTGGTTGAATCCTGCCCCTGCTTTAGGGCAGTATTTCAGTCATCATACATAGGCTCTAGAGCCAGCTTAACTTTGCTTCAGATCCCTAGCTCCATTACTTCACAGTTTTGTGACTTTAAGCAAGTTACTTAACCCCTCTGGCCTCAGCTTCGTCATCTGTGAAATGAATATAGTATTGCCTATACCATAGAATGGTTGTGGGAATATTAGTAGAATGTGTTTAGAAGAATGCCAGCACATATTGTTCAATACATGTCACTATTACTAGCTAGTGTTTTCTATCTATACA